ATTAATTTGTTTATATTAGAGGAAATTTAATGGCACTTTTGGCAAAATGAGTTAAAAATATTATAAATAGACTTTAAAAAATATCTTGTAAATATTTGCTGCTCTTAATACAAATTTTATATTAATTTGTTTATATTAGAGGATATTTAATGGCACTTTTGGCAAAATGAGTTAAAAATATTATAAATAGACTTTAAAAAATATCTTGTAAATATTTGCTGCTCTTAATACACATTTTATATTAATTTGTTTATATTAGAGGAAATTTAATGGCACTTTCTCAAACACTTTAGCAAAGCCAGCAGTCCTTAGTATATGTATTAGCAGTGTCTGAGGAACTTCAGCTTAAATGTAAACAGTTTAAATACCTTAGCTTATGACGTGTTCAAATTTTGATTTTAATCTATGCTCAAGCTTAGTATAATGTTTTTAAAAACTAATGATCAAAAAAACTGGAGGTGGATGAATTTCCAGCGTCATTTCTAATGTTTTTGTTGGCCAATAAATGGCTATATATTTTTAACAATTTTATATATATGTAAGTCAATAACAGTTCCGAGTAAGAAATACCAGTTAGGTTCCATTACAAATCAAAAACACGTCGCATGTTCTTATCCATATTTTACTGCTTTTTACGAAACTAATTGTATTGAAATTTAATCAGTTTGCGAATCAAATTATACGGGAAATCTGTAATACATTTCTTCTGGCACAAAAATGAATTCAAAGCTCTCCACTTGAAAATATTTAACGAGGCAGTTGTTCTAGCTAGCACGATTTGCCTCAGTACTTTCGTTAATGCAGAGCAAAAATGCAGTCATATGTTGGATTTATTATTAATAATTTTAATTAATATGAAACATTAAACATAAAAAGAACTTTAATAAAGCACCCTTTATTATACTTATGGTCGCTGCTGCTGCATTATGAATATTTAATATACATACTTACATATGTATGTATGTGTGTGTGTATGTATGTGCACATACACAAGTTAAAGTTGAGCTGCAACACTATAGTGTTCACGAATAAACGCACACACACACACACGCAAGTATTCTATACAGATTGGTATTCAATATATGTACATACATACTTGTATGTACATTTTTAGCTCCTTTTGCCTTGTTGCTAGCTTTTGCCAATCGCAGCTTATTGTGCGCTGCTTTCTTTACATTCTATTATTATTCTGCATTTTCTTTCTTATCCGACGTCACAGTTTTACATTTTGCTTCATATGACCATAACTGTGCATTATCGTAACAAACACAAAATTATTGTATTCATGACTTCAAATGACACGGGAATTGGCGTCGATTCAAAAAAAAAAAAAAAAAAAAAAAAAAAAAAAAAAAAAAAACGAAATAAACTAAGGGCACATGAATTGGCTTACATGCGAATGTTAATGGTTGTTGTCATAACTGAAAAGATAGCTAAAAGAAAATGACAAAACACAAATACGGTTTTAGGATGCCAACGAAAAATATTAGTGGCTCAATAAATAATATTTATGTACATATGTATGTATATTTATTAAATATAAGCAAAATATGCCAAATGCACCAAATTTGAAGAGCTCTATATACATATACATACATAAAGGTGTATGCATGTATGTATGTACAGACGTATGCTGTAAAAAAATGCAAATAATTCTTTACTTCTTCACTTATTGGCAGCCCTAACTCCTTGTAAAAATCAATTTGAAAGAAGACGCAAAATAAATGCGCACCTTTTCATCGAATATAAAGCAAAATAGCAATAACCATATAACGGAATCTTTCCACCGCTTTTACTCTCTTCACATGCTCGCTCCTCTCGTGCTCCCCTTGCTAATGCTCTCTTTAATACAGAAAAGTAGCTGCATATCAATAACACAACAACAACAGAAGCAATTTGAGAGTGTGCTAATATGATGGCGAGAAGTGTATGCATGCTATACATACGTTTGATCGTATGTATGTATGTTTAATTTCGTGTTTTCGATTTCGATAGAAACGCTCTATTGTCGAGAATGTACAAATGTCAATGTAAGCGATAAATATGTATGTTTTGATATTAAATCGCGTGGCTCTTTTGACACACATGCATAACATATACATACATATGTATGTACATATTTATGTATGTGAGTAGGTGTAAAGCGCAATATTTTGTAAAATATGAAAGTCTATAACGAAAAGTGTTAAATGTTGTCAAGTTATGGCAGATCTGCCATGCCTGTCTGCCGGAGAGGTCTCGCAAGTGAAGATATAAAAGCGAACGGCTTAGTATTTCCTTTGGTCCTTTAATAAATTTAATTTAATTAATTTGCTTATTTATATAAACATGGTAAAAATTACAAATGATCAACCAACAATTTCATGTGAGAAAATGTGCATGAAACGAAATACGTATGGCAGGCGCGTGAGCGGATTTACAGTTATGTTTTTTGATGCCTTGCCTTCACTTTTACATTCTTAGAGAGAGCATTCTGCTTGCAGCTGCAATGCAAGGCTTAGTTTTTTTCGACCTGTTGAACGCGTCGCGTCGTTTGTGTTTGGAGTTGCCGAAAACTCGGAGAAAATGCTTAATTAATAGTTTAAATATTAGAAAAATTATGTAAAAGTATACATATGTACATATTAAGTTGTGGGTGAAGTGTGCAAAATATTAGTTTATTAATGCGAAAATGCCGCGATATTAATGTACTGCGTACATACATACATACATAATTATGTGTGTATTCGTGATTTCAAATAAATTGCGCAGTGCCTCAATTTTTGTTTTCATTTTTTTAAGTGTTTGTAAATGTGATTTAAATAAGTAAAGGTGTTCCATTTGAAAATAATTCTTAATTAAAGCGATCGAAATTAATCTGCATGTCAATGTAAGTACGCAGCGATTTATATTCATTATTTTTTTCATGTATGCATGTATGTACATATGTATATATGTATGTACATACTTGTATGTTCAAGTATGAATAGGTCTCACTCAGTGGCCTTTATATTAGCACTGCTAACAGAGACAGCACTTAAGAAAGAAAAAAACTCAATTTACAGAACTTGCCGAATATGTATAACAGATTGCTAACTTGCCTACATTTGTGTGTTGAGTCTTTTGCCGAATGTGTTGTATAACAGATTGCTAACTTGCCTACATTTGTGTGTTGAGTCTGTTGTATGAAGTCATACCAACAACCTGGAGTTTGGGTGGTCGAGCGCCCCCACTTGTTGCAAAGGACCAAGAGAGCGCAGGTAGATCAATTAGAAAAGCAGAGAGTGTACGAATTCTCTTAAAAACTGTAAGGTAATAAAGTAACCATGGCAGACACAATTATACACACATACATAAATATGTAGATCGTTTATCCGTATGCAAATGATTGCACGTGTGTGAATTCGTGATTACAATTTTTAATTAATATCGAAAAGTTAACTGATGTTTTCATATGTATGTATATGTGGGTAAGTTTTCAAAAATATTTCGCAGTTGGATTTGGTCTTTCACTTTTGTGCACAATTTTTCTATACAAATGGTTTGCAAATTGAAAAAGGATTGCGAATTTGTGGAGTCTCATGTTGAATTGAGGTTCCGTTAAATAAAAAGTGCCTACATTTATTTTAATGTCTTTGTATAGGGTGTTAAAAATTAAAGCGATAAAAATCCAGAAGGCGTTCACATTCTTTTTTTTTTTTGTTTTCTGTTCTGTCACAGACAAATTTTTGCATTCGTGGCGTCCGCCTGGCCCCAAAAAGTTCTGCGAGCGATTGTCGCGATGGCGTCGTCGGCTACGCTTGACAAATTGTATATAATTGTTGTGGGTGGCTTGCAAACAAGGGCAAGAGCGACGCCCGAAAACAAAAACCAATTTGCATTTCTATGCCCAAGCATTATCTGCTGTAAATATATACTAAATATACTTGTTTATGTATGGGAATGTACATAGTACTTCTTTAGAAATATACGTATCTACATACATACATACATACTATATAGGAGTATGCGTACTCTTTTAAGCACTTTCCAAATAACAATTTAACCAGCTACATGGTTCTTTGGCTTCGTTGTTCGAGCTGTTGGAGCTTTACACAGTTGTTGTTTTTGTTATCAGCCGACCAACTTTGGGGCCACCAGCGACGCGGCACCAATTAAAATTTATGTAAATGAATTAAACCAACAGCTGACTACGGCCAGCAATAGCAACAACAGCAACTACAGTAATGACAAAAAGTCAACTTTATCCGCACAATAACAACAACAACCTAGACTGAATCCGAAAAGCCGCGGTGTTGACCGTAATTGCGCAGCTCTTCATACACCCCCTCTTCTGTCAATCACATACACCCTGCCCAAAAGTAAAAGCCGATAGTAGCCTAAAATAAATCTCAAAGTGAATTTCAAAATTTTAAATACGCTGACGGCATGTTGCTGGCTATGTTGCTGACAATAGTAGACCCTAAACTGATTTATAAAGTGCACATGCGATGAAGCACTATACCTATAATATAGTTGATTTACTTAACAGCGCTATTTGCCTAATTTTGCATTTTGGCTGATCAATAGTTGAAATAGATTCCTGAAGGCAGTGCAAAGCTGTAGATTGCAGTCAAAATTCAATGGCGAAACAACGTTGTAATCCTGGAAGTAATTCAATTTTCTTAAAGATTACTCGAAAACACACTTAACCCAGTAGCTCTTTAAATTTCGCTTTCAAATTGTGCAATTGCATTCTTTTAGAGGCTATTTATATTATTGGCTCAATGGTTTTCTAATATTCAATTCAATTTCTTTCTGAACTGGGTACAGGGCTACCTAAGTCCTACATATACATTGCATTTGCACTTTATTCCATTGGAATATTATTGGTTTTTAAATGTTATATGCGTCTATTAAAAATTGCGCTATACCCTATCGAACTTTCAGGACCTTACAATATATATATTTAATTTTAATTGAATATTGAAGATTGTAATATCGAGAGAATTAAGCAGTAGCTTGCTTGCATTTAAACTCACCTCTCGCAAGTCGCCATCCTCGGCTAACAGATCAATTTTATTGCCCACCACCACAATGGGAACGGCTGTAGTTGATTTGGTTTCGTGGATTTGATCGCGTATGGCGCGCACCTCCTCGAAGGTGCCCGCATCGGTGACATCATAGACAAGGATGAAGGCGTCCGCCGATGATATGGAGAGTGCGCGCATTGCCGGGAACTGTCAGAGTCGATTCCATCATGATGATGATTTGCCAGGGCATGTGCAGAGAGAAAGAAAGTACGGAAAAATTTTGTAAGTGAAAAGTGTTGAACAAGTGGCGTAAATTACAAGAAAATTTTGATTCACATTTGCATATTATTATTGTATTTGAACACACACACACACTCAGGCACATCAAACAGGATGTATGCACACATTTCTAATAATGATGATAATAATGTAAATTTTGTCAAGCGGCATCGCTTCGAAGGCAACAAGTGACATTTCAAAAGTCAGTCGCTCCTTTCCTCAAGTGTCGTCGCGCAATGGGCTGCTAAATTGAATTTCTCCGCGGGTACAATAGACAGGACGAACGGCGACGACGGCATCGATGGGGGCATTAGGGGATCGGATGGGTGGCGCCACATTGTGCGTCAGTTGAAAATTTGATTTTTCTTTCATTTAAATGCCAACGTGTGACGTTTTCCTTGTGCTGTAAGCTTAAGTCGAGGCAATTGTGTTTTTTATTTTATTTTTTTGTTAGCCTTCTTTTTTGTGTGTTTAGAAGTTTCTGCTTCAAGCGACAGTTGGCCAAGATTGGCCAAGTTGTTGCAAAGTACAAGCGAAGCAGTTTCAAAGCAATTCCAAAAAACGTTTCTCTAACACTAATGTTGATAAATGGTAAGTCAATATTTTCTAAACTTTGTTTCAATACTTTTAAAAAAGGTTTAATTTTAGTTTCATTTTATTTTTGGCTGTTATTTTTTAATTTTGGAATATGAATATGTGCGAATGTAGGTAACGCACAAAGGGAACACATTACTTGTAGATTACTATGATAAGAAGAGTCGATATAGAGGTGTCTGTTTCTCAGCCTGTCGGTATAAATCTCTGAAGTAAAAGAGCTAGAATAACCAGAGAGCATAGAGAGTTGACCTATTCACACATAAGCTAATTCTCCAATTTGGGTAAACTGTTCAAAAAAAAAAAAAAAATTATAGTACCGGAGGAGGAAACACACTTGTTCTTTATAGGCCCAAGGAGAGCTTCGGTACCACGTTTGGCTCTATACCTTTCGAGAACTTTGCGTTCATACAGACAGACAGGTGGACGGAAATGCCTTTTTCGCGTCAGGGATGCTTCCTTCTACTTTGCACAGTTCATTGTATTGGTTCATTTATATTAGAATTATTGTTATTATTAGTATTGCGTGATTTATTGCTTTAACTATTTTTAATATTATTATTATTATAGGTAATTCATATTAATTCTGCTGTACAAACATATACTATTAGTTGTCATTGAAAGCAAAACTTCGCCAACGCACAAACGATTTGTATGTAGAACTCAGTACAAGCTCAGTTATAATCACACATACACACACGCACATTCAACTTAAAAGTTGCTCATGGACCTGCCACACACACATATTACATAACATTCACAAAAGGGTAGGCTGTTCTGGGACAGCTTTGGTGCCATTTATTCGACATTTGCCGACCTCGTTCCGAAAGGCTGAAGCGAATACGAAATGTGAAATGTGTTCTAAATCTTTTATTTAGTGCGAGTAGCAATGGACAAAAGTTTTATTGACAAAAGTTGCCGTTATGTGCACGATTTTATAGCTGTAGTCGCATTATAGTATGCATGATATAGTGTCTGAATTAGTTGTTAACTTAAAGTTAGTGGAAAGGGTCAGAGGAATCGTCTAGCTCCGTGTCGACATTTTTGCTACTGGTCGATAAACTGGACTGGGAAGTCTGGGAGCCTGGGAAAGTTGGGGTTAATGGACTTGTGGCTGTCGCACTTATCGGATCCGTTTTGAACGTTTTGCGCCACTCCAACCATTTGGCCACGTCCGGCTCTTCGCTGTTACCATTCTTCTCGAGCTGCACGTAATGGGCCTCACGGAGAATTTTAAAGGCGTGTTTATCGTAGTATGGCTGCTTTGTGACCGGATCGAAATAACGTGCTGGTAGGCCGGTAATGGGACAAATTCTATTGCGTCTGTTTGGAACAGACTGATGCCGATGTGGAAATATTGTTGATAGCACCGTGTTGTTGTAGTCGTTCTGGATCGTGACATAAGTGCGTGCGCACTTGCCGGTAGACTCAGACGGATTATCTGAGTCTGTGGAGAAGTCGGGCATTGTCAGTGAGTGATAGCGTATGGTGGGAACAGAAGGAGCGTGTTTGATTGGACACTTCTTCTTCTTCTTCTTCAGTTCAACATTTTCCAATCTTTGAAGAGATATGGTGTTCGCCTCTTCCGTTATTTTGGCCTCCTTCAGCAGTTCCTCTTGCGTGGGAATGTATTCTTTTAGACATACTCTCCTCTTTTTGCCGCTCCTTTCATCCTTTCTCTCTTGGTAGAGCATTTTGCTGAGTTTGGTTTGAAAGGATGTTGATTCGCGTTTGGATCGCGTAATCGGGTACATGATAACGTCTTCTTCCACTTTGGCTTCTTTTCTCTCTCTTTTCATAGCCGTTTCAATTTGTCGGCTAGCAGTTGGTCTTGTTTCTTTGTATGCTTTGGTGTGGACACCAATGCGTCTGCGTTTCTTTTCGGGTTCTTGCTCTTGGTCGGAGATGGGCTCATCGTTTTCATCTATGCTGAAATCGGAGTCCACAACATCCTCCTCCTCTTCGTTTTTTTGCACATATTCATTGTCTTCGTCTTCATCATCGAAACCGCCGTAGGACGTTTGGTAGAATTCATCCTTTTCCCCTTCTTCCAACAGCTTGGCCATGTTGATGCCAGCATTTTGGCGTCTGGAACGCGAGGCAGCCATTTAATTCAAATGATGTGCCAATTAAATTGTAAATTATACCGTCGTTAACAATTGTGTGCTGAATAAAAAAGCAAAAAAAAGGCACAGGTTGGTTGTACGAGAAAGCCACAAATGTCGAATCATTAGCTACCTGGCGCGCAACAGAATGATTCCACTGAGACCAACTAAAGCAGCAGCTCATTCAAAACACAATTAAACAAATTTCAACAATAAAAAGTCATGAGCAAACACAGAATGGCAAATGCAATGAATTTTGAAACAAGCTCACACGCCAACCTTGGGGAAAATTGACACAAATTTCAAAGCATTGCAGTTTTGAGAATTTCCAAAATTCTAGAAGCTGCAAGCAGGATATATACCTAATTCTGTTTTTACATGGTATTTTTTAACACGGTTCTTATTTAACACGGTTTGAAAATTAAAAATTCTACATAAGTTTGCTCGACTTTATTCCATTTAGCATGATTTATTTTGCATATGATCATATTTTGCATATTTTTTAGGAACCAATCTACCGCGTAACAACATAATTAGGTGTACATGTGTTAACAATTTTTCCCCTAAATTTAATACTGTATTAAATATATTTATTTAAATTGATAAATTATACCAGATAAAGAAGTGTGTCGGTCTGTTTATAATGCTTTCTTTCCATAAAAGTAGTGGGTTCTTTTTAAAGTCTAATTAAAAAAAAGCTCTCTTTTTAAATGTATATTATTGTTTTCTTCGAAAGAACAAATATCCCAATAATTGCCCTTAACTCAGTTTTCCAAGACATTGGTGACGGTTTCTGGCTCGATTTCATGAGGCGCTGGCTCGATATTCCTGCTTGATTTATCTAATCTAAATTTATATTTTTATAGGTATATTTTAATAATCATCACTTTTCTTGCATTGGCAACAATTTGCTTGATGGCTAAAAAATGGTTGTGGGTGTTTACAATACGGATGGATACATATTTTGTTTCATAATAGTTTCACTTTTCAGCCTGAGACTCTTTTAGCCACAAGCTTGTGTGCATCCCTGGCAAATGTAATAAACACACTCTCCAGCACACACCTGAGTAAACTGTTGCAATATGGTCGCTGGTAACTATAACAATGGCTGTGCCTCGTTCTGGGAGTGACGGTGCTTGCTGCCCCACTTGCTGCTGCTGTTGCTTTGCCTAAAATCATACGCCTTGTTGTGTATCGCCTTTAAATTGAAAATGCACACACACACCCACACACACACATATAGGGACACATCCCACAACAGTCGCAAACAGTTGCATAATAATCCTTTTTGCTTGCACACATATACATACATATTGCATACCACTAGTACATACATACATACATACATACATACATACATACACACCAGCAAAGAGTTAATAAAAAGCAGCCATTGAAAGTATCCAGCGCAAAATAAAAGACCTGTTCCCTCCCGCCCGTACCGCAAATGAAAACCAAAATGAAAATGAAAATGAAAAAAGTAGGCGAATGAGTAGCGCAAAAAAATGCACACACCCGAAACAATAGCAAGTGTCGTGCAGTTCAAAATACACGAGACGACGACGATGGTGCACTAGGGGAAAGGGGGCTCAGATGATGGGGCATCACCGGATGCGGCCTGAACGCACTCCCACATGCCCTGCACACGTTCACAAGCGTTGAGCATCGACTGTATTTAGTGTAACAGTATTTTGGCACATCTATACACCATTCAGGGACATGATAGTCCAGTTTGCAAAAAAGTATAGAGTACTTGTAGTATAAGAAAATTATATGTGGTTTACATTTTTTTTGAGACAAAACTAGCGGGTATATTTCATCAGATTTAGCCGAATGTCGGCCTTCAAATTTAAGTCACGACGCGTTCTTAGTGGAGTTTAAAATTTTTTAATTAATTACGACCGAAATGTCTTCTTTACAAACATATAGCATTTAATCTAAGCGAACAGCCTATTCTTCTATCAAATTAACTTTGGGCATATGAATAAGGAACAAAATCTATTCAAAAGTAAGCTTACAATGAGATTAACATTCTTAAATGCAGCATTGAAGACTTCTCTTAGGTACAGATAAAGTACTTTAAGATCTATATTATCGGTATATTATTTAAGCATTATTTGTAGAAATTAAAAAGAGCATTAAAAATTTGGGCAGCAAAATTTATTCATTAAATAAAAGTTGCTTTGGGAATAATAAAAAATTCTCCGATTACATAAACAAACAAACACA